TCAAAATTTTTAATATAACTACATTAAAAAAATTATATTAACACATCATTGAATCGATTTGCAGTTTTTTTATTTCACGAATTTTTATGTTCCTTCGTAAAAACTCGAAGGATCGAATCAAAGTTGAGATTAGATCGAAACAAAATATTATGAAAGAACATTTTTATAGAAACAGTTCATCAAAATTTTTAATATAATTATATTAAAACATCATTGAATCGACTTGTAGTTTTTTTATTTCACGAATTTTTATGTTCGTTCGTAAAAACTCGAAGGATCGAATCGAAGTTGAGGTTAGGAAACAAAATATTACGAAAGAAGTCAATTTTTGCAGAAACAATTCAGAAATCAAAATTTTTAATATAACTACATTAAAAAAATTATATTAACACATCATTGAATCGATTTGCATTTTTTTTATTTCACGAATTTTTACGTTCCTTCGTAAAAACTCGAAGGATCGAATCAAAGTTGAGGTTAGGTCGAAAGAATTCGACGAAATAAAACTGTGCTTAATTATTAGATGCAGTAATTCGTAGAGTGATTTTTTTAAAAATATTTTTCATTAAATCATCCGAAAGAAAGAAATAATAAGAGCGCGATTAATTCAAAGGATTTCCCTTCAATGTAACCGCAAGTACGCAACTAGGAACGTTCTGCATCGGCTGTTCTACGCGGAAGTCTCGGTGGCGACTTATGTTTCCGTTTTCTAACTGGAAAATATGAACTCACTCGTTCCGAGTATCGAAGACAATAGATACTGACAAAAGAACGAACATCGATTACCCGATCAAGTATAGAAAGTAAAATTACTTACCTGCTATACCAACAATTTGATTTACGATTCGATGAATTTTAGCACGAGACATTTAAGAAGATATTGTGTAACTAACGTATCGATATTACAAGTATATTCCTCCTCTTCTAGATTCTTTCATAATATATATATATGTATATTAAAAAAACTCGCTTTGAATTTCCTTCATTAATCCGTGAAGGACACCGGTTTTACTCTCGTTTAATTATCAGACCGGTTGGTGAGAACACAATGTTAGTTGCAACAGAGATAAATGGCATCATTTGCCTTACTATGATAAACTAATATCATAAATATATTAATATAAGTATTTTATCATCGAAGAAAAAAGATAATAAAAAAAAAAACACATAGTTTTTTTATTTATAACGCGTTTACAATATTTAAAAAAATTACTTTGTGAATTTAATATCAGTTTTTAGTAACGTAATAATTAACAATAATTGTTGCAAATGATATATAGCAAAAAAACGATATGCGGATAAATATAGTGGAGAGATTATTATCGAGTAAATATATCCGTTTTAATGTTTGTAGAGGAAAGTTATTTATCATAGATCATTTTTTTTTTATTAACAACTACAATTAAAATTACTGGATAATAAAAATTAATGGATAGACGCTATTAATTTTAAATTATTTAACGAACTAATACTAAACACATTTAAATATTTTTAAAATTACATAAAAGTTTCAAACCTTTTTTTTTTTTTTTCAATAATTTTCAAATTGTTTAAATTTTACTAAAATATAATTATCGAATAATTATAATCATTCAGGATTAAAATTTGATACTCTCAGTCAAAGTACGACCGAGTACGAAATTTCGAACAATTTCGAAAAATTGAAAAATTGGAACATTGGTACATAATATTAGAACATGAATATAATTTAAATAAAGAAGTAATTAGCATTTTTGCCTCGTATCATGGTTGCGTCTCATACGGGCGAAGAATTAAAACAACGATGTTACCTGGAGATCGTCGTTCGTTTTAACCGTGATATCCCTACTCTGGTAACATCTAGCAGAGTACCAGAAGTACAGACGCAGTTAGATACCTACCAGTTGGTTTCTACACACGAGAGCCTCGACAGTTGTCGCTCGGTAACTCTCGCGGAGCGCATTCGATTTGAAGAGTTGCTATCGAAATCCTTGTCACTTCAGGATCCAGGATCGTTGAAAATCTCACAGAAAACTTTCTTCGGGTACAACGCGAATTCACCTGGACACCATCTTCAGGGTGAGTTTCTTCGTTTATTCGTTTAATTTTACTTTAGTTTTACTCGACTCGATTTTGTTCTGTCGAAAATATTTTTCTTTTCTTTTTTTTTATATGACTGATCGATTGTGACGATAGATGAAGATATATATTGATATATATTTTTGTAAAAAAAAAAAGAAAAAAAATCACTTCGTTTGTTTATTTATTGTTTGTATAAATAAATTTTTCTACGCTTAATGTCACGGTAGAATGTTATTTTGACAGAAATGAGGACAGAAATGTTTATTTTACCGGTAATGTGATGAAAATTGTGAAGACTACTTGGAGGCAGCTTGGAAAGAGTTATTGCGGAATAACTGTCAAAAGGCACAATAAATAATATAGATATAGTCATTTTGATAAATGCCGAAGCGATATTTCTATATTTTTATTCAACGTTGCACGCACTCGTGCTTAATGAATGTTATTATTAGCTTTATCGAGGTAACAAGTTTTATTTAAAAAAAAAAAGATGATAATAAATAAAAAAGAAATAAGAAAGAATTCTAGCTTTTTTAAAATAATGCTCATTTGCTCATGGAATAACTGTGAGTAAGTGGTAAATGAGGTCTACGATTCTATTATGCATTATAATTTATCTATATAGATACATACACATACATATATGTATGTACGTATATACTCACATTTGCGTACAATAATTACGAGGCAACTATTTGAGATACATGCAATTAAGATATATAAAAAAGATTTAAATTTTAAATAAAATTATTTGTAAATAATACTTGTTATTTTCTGTGAGAAATTAACGATGCATTTCGTTTCGAATTCAAAACGTTATTCAACGCTATTATTAAAACTATATTCAAGATAAAATAAAGTTTCGAGAAGAAAAAAAAACTATACTATATAATATATATATATATATAATAAAGAACTACATTATGCCATAAATAACAATGATCGGGTAATTTTGGAGGAAAAAAAAGTTTGTTAAGTTAGCTAAATTTCGAAAATAAACTCGCGCAACGAGGTAACGGTGAAACGGCAATATAACTTTTAATAGCACGTTATCGCCGATTAAAGAAAAACAGGGTAAAGAAGAAAGAGATGAGTGGAGATAAGGAGAGATATCGCGCACCTGCGCACTACACCTTATAGGGTAACGATCGTGGATCAGACGACGAGACGCAAGATGAATCGAAGATTTATGTACGAGGTAGAGATTTATGCGAAATCGATCGAGGGACTCGATGGAAAAAGTAACAGAATTTAAAAAAAAAAAAAAAAATGGCGAATATTGCCTTTTTTGGGCGAAAGAAAAATTAATTTAACTCCTCTGTTTCGCTATAAGTATAAAACGGATATCCAGGATAGGATGCAAAGCGATATCGTCAAACAACGATGTAATAAAAGTCAGGGAAAGATACACGTAAATTTAACGAGGTTGCACGGATCCAAGGTAAATGATTCTGTTTGCAGTAGCCACAGAATTCCGAGAACCAAGTTGTAGGAAAAGTGCACGGTGATTACGAGGCTTTTAATTGCCTCGTGAAAGTGGATGGAAAAATCTTTAATAAATCGAAATTATGCACAGCGTAAGTGGGTCGTGGAAAATTGGCGATAGCAGCATCGTTACAATTTATTTTACATTAAGTGTGGTGAGAATGTTATATTATTTCAATTTTCTCAGATTTAAAACGAGACCCAACGCGTTTGATCATCGTAATCATACAAAATTTCGAATCTCGAGAATAAAATTAAATCGCATCAAAGGAACAATTTTTGGAACTGGAGTTTTAAACGACATTTTATAATACCAGATGCCTTGCCAGTTTTACGATCGATAATTTATTTGATCGAATTTAATTTTGTCCCTATTGCTTCCGAATTTCCTTAATAATCAAAACTGAAACGAATTCAATCAATTTACGTAAAATTCTCGCCTCGAAATGTTCCATTGATGATCAAATGTTCGTACGATCAATGCATTTCTACACACCGAATTTCTTAAAGCGAACGCT